TTAAAGGAGCTTCAACATGCTGTTTCTTCAGCAGTGGAGTCTTGTGTGGTGAGCGTGCATACAATTATCAGATGCTTGTTGATGGATACTGAATAACACTGAGTAACTTGTAAATGTTTTAACTGACACTGATAGCTGTCAGCTTTATAGGTGTATTCTTCACGATGTGACTATTTTCATCATGTGTGCTTTGGTTTCACACACGTTCAGCTCGGCTGCTTTAAGTTGCTGTTTTTGAAATCATTAGTTTCTCCTGACGTGCTTTTGCAGCATTCCAAAAAATTTATTATACTTTTTATATTTAACTAAAACATTCAAAGCTAAAGTAAGACAACTCAAAATAAAAATTTCATTGTTTATGACAATTGAAAATGTGTCTTTAAAGTTGGTCATTTATAAAAATTGTGTTTACCGTCAGTGATCAGTATGTGCTTCTGATAAGAATTAAATCAGTTTAACTTCATCAGTTATCAGCTTGTAATTAAAGCTGGGACAGTGAGGTTGCACCAGGTTTTGTGCCGCCGTACAAGTTCTCGCTCAGAAAGACCAACATCTTCTTCCAGGAGTCCTCCTGAGCTTGTAAATGTTCCAGAGTCTGTCCTCCCCCCACAAAAGTGTAACTGCAAACAACAAAAACAGCCTCTGAATTCAAGACAAGCTGACTTTAAAAATACCCAGAAAGCTGACAGGTGGGCGCTTTCTGACTTTAAAGTGAACTTACCTTTTAGACGTGTTACAAGTTTTTTTTTAAAAAGACTAGCTCGGGCGTGTGGCGAGTATGGTGGTTCAATCAGGTGACCTGTGTTTGGGTAGGACAGGAGAGTCAGCAGGTGGCTGTTCCCCGCTCGCTCCATCATCTCGAAAACAGATTTTAAAGTCAGGTGGTTTAACGACAAGACAGTTCAGGTTTTGTCTCATCAGCTTCAACCTAAAACAGAAACAACCTACAAGGTTAAGGTCAACAAGTAATCCAATTTAGGTCTTACTTTGTTCTGTTTGTCTGCACATCCTTCCTAAATTGTGTATTTCAGTGTTATAATTTGGAAATGTTTCAGCCCACTTTTAACTGCTTAGTTTGAAGTTACACCAAGGAGCAACAGCAGCAAGAGGAACCGTCAAACCTGATGTTAATTTGAGAAGACCAACCTCTTACACAGTCCTTTTCACAGCCCACCCAAAACTAGAAAACTGATTTATGGTCTGCTCCTGACAAGGTTGTAGAATCTTTTGTCCAGGATGATTTGCACTTTGTCCTTGTAAATTTGCCCAATATGACAGAGTTAGTTGACATCTCATTTCCAAAGGCATTTCTCCCATTTCTTCCTGGAGGGCTGCTACAGGGGTACTCCTCACTGCACCTGTATACAACACATTCATAATCTATAATTAAACTAATAAGTGCCATATAAATTTTACTTAAACAAGATTGACTTGCACCTCATTCATGCCCTCCTAAGACACCTCATAATATTTATTATCTTTTTACATTACCCCAAAATAGTCTAGAAACAAACCAGAGGCCCAGATATTTGAATTTCATTACCTTTTCTAAATTGTTTGTATAATTTAATATTAATAGCATTATTGTTTTCTTTTTGAAAAACACAACTTGCTTACAGAAAATCTCGCCTGTCACACAAACTTCCGCGCACGCTTACAAAGTCTTCTGATAGGTCGCAGCAGCACACGTGACCACAAAAATATCCACAGCAATTGGCTACAACAGTACAGAGACTTACCTCGCGAGAACTACCACCAACTGTATTGGAAATATCACGAGACTTTACTGCAGGAATGAACATAATGCAGAACAGAATAAGGAGAGTAAAGAAGACAGGTTCAGATTTTAACACCTGGGTTACATTGGTTCTTTTGGGTCAAATGGTAATTTTTGGTCTTTTTTTTTTTCATTTTTCATCAGTTCAAACTTGAATGAACTCCTCCTAGGGATTTTGATTTATCAGCTTCATACTTTGTCAGTATATTCTTAAAGGGGACCTATTATGCAAAATTCACTTTTTAAAGGTTTTTTTTTTTTACTCAACTTTGGGTATGTATTTCTTAAAAAATAAACAGTCCTAGGACCAAAAAAATGCACCCAGGGGCATATTTACTGTAAGTAAATGTATTTTTAATGTATATTAACGACAAGTTTTATACTTCCGTCATTTTGTGATGTCACAAGCCGTAAGACAACCCACCAGAACCTGCGTTCAGCCCCTCACCTAGCAACCCCCGGGTGAGACTCCTCCTCCTCAATATAAAAAGCCGTCACCATGTTGCTGTGCAAAGCGCAGCTCATTTCACAACAGGGCTCCAACAGGGCAATGGGTAGAGTGTTGGACCAGAGAGTGGGGAAACCAGGGTTTCAGACTGGCACAGACACAATTTAAATTATTTATTTTCATTCGTTATGAACACATTTTCTCATGTACCTCTATTGTTTAGCTTATTAAAGCCTTGTTAAAGCCTATTTGTTCGTGTTTCTGAGGTATTTTGACCGCTGCTGCTCCCTGCTCTGGTAACAGCATGCAGAGTGAGAGCAGAGCAGAGGAGGGAGAGAAAAAAAGAAGCTGGGACCACGACTCTGCCTCTGGGTCTCATATGGTTGTACAACGGAGCTTCTGCTATTATTAGCCATGCTAACGTAAACGCTGGCTTTGGAAGGCGGAGTTAATGTCAACAGATTTTTGGAGGGCATTACCAACAGAGCTCATTAACATAAACAGCTCTTCTGAACGGAAGTCAGAGCAGGCAGAACTAGGAAATGGGAAATTTTATTATCTGAGAATTATTTTATGCATTAAATTGAATGAACATGGTCTGGATAGCCCACATACGTCCTGATGTATCTCAGTAATCCAGGTAAAAAATCAAAAAGAAAAAAATTGTATAGGTCTTCTGGACGGGTTCTTCTCTAATGAAACGTTTCATCTCTCCTCCAAGAGACTTCTTCAGTCCGGCACAAACAGAGCAATGTTGTATATGCTGTTAAGTGCCAGGAGGACTGCGACCAGTTATACATGGGGGAAACAAAGCAGCCATTGTTCAAAAGAATGTCCCAACACAGACGAGCTAACTCTGATGGCCAGAACTCTGCAGTTTTCACTCATTTACAGACCAGCGGTCACTCTTTCAGAGATGAGGATGTTCTCATTCTTGATAGAGAGGAACGTTGGTTTGAGAGAGGAGTAAAAGAAGCCATTTTTGTGAAGAAAGACCGTCCATCATTAAACAGAGGTGGAGGCCTCCGTTTTCAGTTGTCCCCCTCCTACAGTGCGGCTATTGCCAGTATCACTCCACCCCCTGTTAACAATAGGTGTTAATTAGGTGTCAACGATAGCCATGTGATGTGAGCATCAGTCACATGGAGGCAGGGCTTAAAAGCCTGAATTTTGCCTGAAACTCTCAGACTGAAGAAGTCTCTTGGAGGAGAGATGATACGTTTCATTAGAGAAGAACCCGTCCAGAAGACCTACACGAATTTTTTTCTTTTTGATAGCCCACAGACATACCATAAAAATTTCTAGGACCCATAATTGATCTCCTTTAAGGCATGAGGGATTAAAAGTGAACAAAAGCTTTTGCTGCATCAAAGCATGTGTGTGGTGGTCAAGCCTCAAAATCTGACCATTTGCCATAAAACACCTAAGTGGAATAACTTCCCCATACAAGGCCACAGCTATATGACAATTTGTGTGTCATATCAGACCAGCCCTCATCACATTCACATGGTCAATTGGTGACATCGCTTTAGCCCCACTTCCTTGTAACAGGAAATCGATTTTTTTTTACAGCTGGGTGTCTTCCTTTTACCCTTTGACTCCTACAGATTTCAACCTCTGGCTGGTGACACACAACGTGATGCTGCATGCTTCTCTCAACACTGACTGGTGGCTGGAGCATGGCAGAGTAGCAAATTCCAATGCCTCGCTGTTTGTGTGCTTCATCAGGGAGCATTTTTTCAACAAATTGGTGTGGTAGTTTGATCACATTTCTTTAGCCCTGTCCACTCAGCAGACACTTATAGGTTTATTTGACTCATCCATCTTCTTCATATATATGATGTAACATTTGAAGTGTATCCACAAACCATTGATAACCATACATAACATGTTCCAAAGCACGGCAGGTGCGGCACTGAGCTGTGAGGGCTGCCAAACCCTGCTTTCAGCTTTAATTCGTTTAAAACATTAAAAGTTAGAGTAAGTAAGAATTCTGAATGTAAAATAATGATTTCATTGTTTGGTCCATAAAAAATGTGTCTTTAATTTTTGGTCTTTTATAAACGTTGCTTTCAGTTGATTCAGTCAGTGCTTTTGACATAAGTGACATAAGATAAGTACTTTTGACAATCAAATCATATTGACTTTAGAAAAGCAAAACAAAACAGTTTAACTTCCACAATCATCAGTCATCTTGATAATTAAAGCTGGGATAGTGAGGTTGCACCAAGTTTTGTGCCGCCGTACAAATTCTCCTTCAGAAAGACCAACATCTTCTTCCAGGAGTCCTCCTGAGCTCGAGAATGTTCCAGAGTCTGTCCCCCCCACAACACCATAACTGCAAACAAAAACAGCCTCTGAATTCAAGACAAGCTGACTTTGAAAATGCCCAGAAAGCTACCAGGTGGACGCTTTCTAACCCGAAAGTGAACTTACATTTCTGACCTGTCCCGAGACCTTTAAAGAGACTAGCTCGGGCGTGTGGCGAGTATGGTGGTTCAATCAGGTGACCTGCATTTGGGTAGAACAGGAGAGTCAGCAGGTGGCTGTTCCCCGCTCGCTCCATCATTTCCTTCATCTGGAAAACAAAGACTTTAAAGTCAGGTGGTTTAACAACAAGACAGTTTAGGTTTTGTCTCGTCAGCTTCAACCAAAAACAGAAACAAACTACAAGACCATTAATGATGTAAGTGAACACCCTGGGTGTTATTTTGTTCTGTTTTTCTGCACATCCTTCCTAAATAATATAACTTAAGAGAAGGGTTTTAAAATTGTGGGGCGCGCTTCCCCTAGTAGTCTGGGGGKGGGGGGGGGGGGTTGAATCAGGAAGAGAGGAAATCAGTGTAAGGCTTTACATTGTTCAGTTCACACTGCAGGTATTAGATCAGATTAGTTTTGCTAAGATCTTTTCTTTTTTGCGTGGCGTATCACATTTTTATTAAACCGTGACTTCAGTATGAACTGTTAACAGTTCAGAGGTGACCCATTATGCATAGAAGAAGTAGTCACACTCGGCAGGCTTTGAGGAAGTAACCGCACATGCTACATGTGCTAGCATGTGTTATTCTGAGTTCTTGTGCAATCAGAAACTATTAAATTATTATCTGACCTGATTGTTAGGTCTAGCATTTACATTTAATCTAGCCTCTTGATTCTTCGGTGCAGCATTTTATTTTTGAATTGGAGCAACGATCTGAAGATTTCCTACAAAAAAGTCTTGACACAACATTGTAAAACCTACAGAAAGCTGTCTTTATTGTTCTGCTCAGAATGCAAGACTGTGATAAAGTAAAGATTAAACACAATCTGCTGCTTCCTTAGATAAATAACTTTTTCTAATTGTCATTTTAGAATGTTTGTGATTTTTTTTTTGTTCAGAGACCTGAGGTGACTTCTGTTCCAAATTGATGCTGTAGAAACCAAACTGAAATTAATCAAACAGGAAGGAAAGTAGATCAACTCACATCCATTGCAGACTCGTAGGTACACCAGTTCTGATCGTCTTCACCAACAATCAGTAACAGTGGACACTGGAGTCGTCCCATCTGATCAGAAACAAAACAAATTTTCACATTTCATTAGTTGTTGCTTCCCTCCTGCAGAGGTTGCTACAAGAAAGATTTGCCAAATGCTTCACTGCTGATCCAACTTCTGCTCTAAATTACAAGACCACCAAGATCACAGACAAATCAATTAATCATCATCACTCAATATGTGTACAAAATACACCTATACAGAAGGCCTGCTCTTCCATTCCAACCTCTTCACATCTAAAAACTCTCAAAAGACATCAGAAAAAAATTGAAGATCTGTACACAGCTGGAATGGGCTACAGGACCACCAGCAAGAAGACTAGTGAAAAGGTGACAGCTCTTGGTAAAATTACTTAGAAATAGAAGTGAAAATAAATGACCATGGCCCTTGTTCTGGAACTTCGCGTAAAGATCTTGTCCCATGATATGTAATGGGAGCTTACTAATCTGAAGGACGTTTGGATCACAGAAATCAAGAAAGACCCACAAACTACACTGTAATGGGCTTCTGACAGTACCCCTGTGTAGCGTAACGTGACTCTTCTCTCAGCAAGAACTGTTGTTTCTCAACTCCACACTTCCTGCCTTTCATGAACACTCAAACTGTGACTTATCCTTAATTAAATTATGACACATTTCCTTTGACCTCCCACTACTGACTGTTTTATACACAAGGACAAAAGGAATTCACGATGTGAGGACCATCCAGATCGCAAGCCCATCAGACTCTGTGTCTGCCAAACCCAGGTTACAATCGGTTCTTTTCTAAGTTCAAAGGACACTGGGTGAGATAAAAGAGACATAAACACTTTAAAGGATACCAGAGGTTTTATCTGTGGGTCAACAGCGACCCCTTTGGACTTTATGTGAACGTGATGTCATGATTATACCATGTGACTAACTTTCAGCCAATCGGAAGTTCTCATGGTACACAAAGGGAAGAGAGGTAGCCATTTTAATTTAGTCTTGAAAATAGAGGTGGGCGATACTGGGAATTTTGGTATCGATCCGATACCAAGTACAGCGGGTAAAATAAGTATTGAACATGTCACCATTTTTCTCAGTAAATATATTACTAGAGGTGCTAATG